GAATATCCTACCTCTTAAACAAATGCATTTAAGATTGGGATGACTTCAGATAAGCATATTCTTTCATGCTTGCTTTCATGCTTGTTACTACTTGTGCTCGGCAAAAAAATTAATTTATTGTTTTTTAATAAAAAATTATGAAAATGTAGTTGTTTTAAAATTAATTAGGAAAATATAGCAGTCAAACATACTCACATAGGGCGTGTTCCAATAAAGAGAAACACGCCCATATGGGGTGTGACCTAAGCGTGAGTCACGCCCACATGGACGTGGCCAAGTTGGAGAGAGACACGCCTCATCTGGGCGTAACCGAGGAGAGAGACACGCCTCATCTGGGCGTGTTTTACCAGGTGTTGCCACGTGTCACAAAAGTCAATAATTTGACCGTAAAACTTTGGAAGTCCATAACTTTTGACTCGGGTATCCGAATTAGGTAAATTTTTTTGATTCCACATATTTTTTCGAGATCTACGTAATGACACCTCATTTGACATATTTTGTCTCTCACAATTTTTTTTTGAATTTACAACAATAATACCATAATTATTAAAAATGACATGACTTTGTTACCTTATAATCTTATATTATAAAGGAATTCTATTCTGTGGAAACCTTGCTGACGTGTCGCACTATGGTTCAATTTCACCATCGTGTTCACACTACAACATTTAAAAAAGTTTCCTTTAATGGTAAATAGGTGAATATAATAAATACAAAAATGAATTATATTTTCAATTGACAGGATTTGTTACTTTAAATCAATGGTCAAGATTGCTTATTCATTGATTTATAACTACTAAATCACTCTTTGTCGTCATCTTTGTTTTTTAAATAATTGATGTTGATCATGTAATCTAATCGTTTTTTTTAACCTTTATTCAGTTTAATTCAAATCTTTACGTTTTTTGAAAAAAAAAACAGGATATTCATTGTTATTAAAACAAATGACTGTTTTATTCCATGAAATGACTGTTAAAAAACGAGATATTCATTGATTTATAACTACTTAATCACTCTTTGTCGTTATCTTTATTTTTTAAATCTTTATTCAGTTTAATTCAAAAACTTCACATTTTTTAAAGAATACAATTCTATTTACTCGAAAAAAATTAATTAGTAAAAAAAAAAAATTATACATATCCCGACCTTTGTTCCTTATTTTCAGATTTTTAAATTTGAATCTTTTATTAACCTCTTGATTCAGTGGAATCAGGTATGAGTGTTTTGTTATTAGAAAAAACTTCTGTTTTATTCCATGAAAATTTCATTTATAACTAAAAAATCACTCTTTTGTCGTCATCTTTATTTTTTAAATAATTGATGTTGATCATGTAATCTAATCATTTTTTTAACCTTTATTCAGTTTAATTCAAATCTTTACGTTTTAAAAAAAAAACCAGGATATTCATTGTTATTAAAACAAATGACTGTTTTATTCCATGAAATGACTGTTAAAAAAATGGGATATTCATTGATTTATAACTACTAAATCACTCTTTGTCGTTATCTTTGTTTTTTAAATCTTTATTCAGTTTAATTCAAAAACTTCACATTTTTTAAAGAATACAATTCTATTTACTCGAAAAAAATTAATTAGTAAAAAAAAATAATTATACATATCCCGACCTTTGTTCCTTATTTTCAGATTTTTAAATTTGAATCTTTTATTAACCTCTTGATTCAGTGGAATCAGGTATGAGTGTTTTGTTATTAGAAAAAACTTCTGTTTTATTCCATGAAAATCTCATTTATAACTACTGAATCACTCTTTTGTCGTCATCTTTGTTTTTTAAATAATTGATGGTTATCATGTAATCTAATCGTTTTTTTAACCTTTATTGAGTTTAATTCAAATCTTTACGTTTTTTGAAAAAAAAAAAGGGATATTCATTGTTATTAAAACAAATGACTGCTTTATTCCATGAAAATCTCATTTATAACTACTGAATCACTCTTTTGTCGTTATCTTTGTTTTTTAAATCTTTATTCAGTTTAATTCAAAAACTTCACATTTTTTAAAGAAGACAATTCAAAAACTATAAATCACTCTCATTTATACAATTCCTGATACGCATTATTCTTCAACGTCAGTGATTGTTTCTCTGTTTTTTCTTCTTACACAAAATATGAGTTCAAAATATAATTTTTTGAGGGATGTTAATCCTGCCAAGGAGGACTGGAGGATTAAGGTGAAGGTGGTTCGGACTTGGAAAGTTCCTAACTTTCAGCGTAAAAATTTGGAGGACAATCTTGAAATGGTTTTATTGGATGAACATGTTGTGTTCTGTGTTTTAAAAATCTTCCATATTTGTTTTGATCATTTTAGTTAACGTTGTTGACATAAGTTGGCTTCATTCTTTTGTAGGGTGGTAGGATCCACGCCACTGTCAAAGGTACCTTGCAGGTGCGGAATAAAATCAACGAAGGAGAGTGCTATTTTATAAAAAAAAAATTGGAGTTGGATTCAATAGCGATGTGTTTAGGCCAACCAAGCATCAGTATCGTTTGTCTCTCAACTTGAGGACTGATGTTAAATCGATTGTTGTTTATGATATTTGTGCGAGTGATTTTGATTTTGTTGATTATAACATCATTGAGAAAGAAACGTCTGACTCCCCTTATTTAGTCGGTAATAGATTTTTCCTCACTGTTATCCTTTTTTTAATTATTGCGGGTTTTATTTTTTTCCCATACTCTTTGCTGCCTTTTTTTAATTTTTAAACGTCATTGGTTTATTCTGTATCATGACTATTTCCTTATTTTTAAACTCTTTGCGGTTATAGTTTTGTGTTTTTAATGTTTTGTCACGAGTAATCTTATTCTGTATCATTATTTTTTTCATTAACTGTGTTTTTTATGTTTCTGTATTCGTTTTTTATTATTGCATAATTTTTTTCACAAACTCTTTGCTACATTTTTTTTTGTAGACGTCATTGGTTTAATCTCAGGAATTGGGAAAGTTTGTGATCGTGTGGTTTCTGGTAGGAAGACAAAAATGGTGGTGTTGGAGCTTGACGACTTGAGGTACTTACAAATTTTTAGTTAAATGAATTATTTTTGTCCAGCTCTGTTAGCTTATATTTTACGCGTATTAATGTTATGTGGTGTTTATTAATGTATTCGTTTGCGCTTTTCTTTTTAAGAAAAAAAATAATTCATTGTTTGTGTAAGGGATATAATTCACTCTTTTATTTTTATTAACGTTAATAACTGGAATTCAAGTATTTCTTTTGTTTTCCAAACAAACACAATATCCGTACTCATCTTAACATCACAAGCTACAAATTTTAACTTTAATTATATTAACCTTATTAACTTCAATTTCCTTTGTTTATATCTCTGTTTATTTTTTAACTGAACCGAATGTAAGTAGGTTCTAATCGTTTTATTTTTTTAATCTTTAATCAGTTTAATTCAAAAACTTTACATTTTTTAAAGAATACAATTCTATTTGCTCGAGAAAAAAAATTAATTAGTAAAAAAAAAAGTTATACATATCCCGACCTTTGTTCCTTATTATGAGTGTTTTGTTATTAGAAAAAATGACTGTTTTATTCCATAAAAATCTCATTTATAACTATTGAATCACTCTTTTGACGTCATCTTTGTTTTTTAAATCTTTATTTAGTTTAATTCAAAAACCTTACATTTTTTAAAGAAGACAATTCTATCTACTCGAAAAAAAATAATTAGTAAAAAAAAAACACTCATACATATCCCGACCTTTGTTCCTTATTTTCAGTTTTTTAAATTTGAATCTTTTATTAACCTCTTGATTCAGTGGAATGAGGTATGAGTGTTTTGTTATTAAAACAAATGACTGTTTTATTCCATGAAAATCTCATTTATAACTACTAAATCACTCTTTTGTCGTCATCTTTGTTTTTTAAATCAATGGTCAAGATTTCCAAAAAAAAAAAAAAAATCAATGGTCAAGATTGCATATTCGTTTGTGTTTATTAATGTATTCGTTTGTGTTTATTAATGTATTCGTTTGTTCTTTTTAAGTAGGTTCTAATCGTTTTGTTTTTTTAATCTTTAATCAGTTTAATTCAAAAAAATTACATTTTTTAAAGAATACAATTCTATTTACTCGAAAAAAAATTAATTAGTAAAAAAAAAACACTCATACATATCCCGACCTTTGTTCCTTATTTTCAGATTTTTAAATTTGAATCTTTTATTAACCTCTTGATTCAGTGGAATCAGGTATGAGTGTTTTGTTATCAGAAAAAATTTCTGTTTTATTCCATGAAAATCTCATTTATAACTACTAAATCACTCTTTTGTCGTCATCTTTGTTTTTTAAATAATTGATGTTGATCATGTAATCTAATCGTTTTTTTTAACCTTTATTCAGTTTAATTCAAATCTTTACGATTTTTGAAAAAAAAACGGGATATTCATTGTTATTAAAACAAATGACAGTTTGGATTGTGCTGTGTCAAATATGCCGCAAATGTGGTATGCAGAAAGAACTAAGAGGGGTCGTAACCCAAGTATGCCGCAATTTGGATTGTGCTGTGTCAATGGAAAAGTTCAACTTCCTTTGTTAAAAACTGCTCCGGATACATTGCTTCAATTGCATGCTAATTCCAATATGACGAGCCGCCAGTTTTTGCGAAATATTAGAGCGTACAATATGATTTTTTCCTTCACCTCCTTTGGAGCAAAAGTGGATGGATCAGTAAATCAAGGTTCTGACCCTTACTGTTTTAGAGTTGGGGGGAGAGTTCATCATTTAATTGGCAGTCTTCTGCCTGCTGATAGTCAGTCTCCAAAATTTGCTCAACTTTATATTTACGACACTGAGCATGAAGTGGACAACAGACTTGGTTGTCTAAGGTATATTTTTTTTTTGACCCAATTCTCATGTTTCATATGTGGAGTATCTTTTTATGTTGACTAATATGAATGACAATTTTTTTATTTATTAAATTTGCAGTTCCACCAGCACTGAAGATATGCTTGATCCTGAAATTATCTGATTATTGAAGGAGATGTTCGATAAGCACAACAGTATAGCTCAGTCTTTCAGGTACGCTAGAGACCGTTATAAGGAAGATGACTTTAATGGTGTAAAGTTGAGGCTTATTCGAAGGCGTGGTAGTGATGGAAGAGTTTATAATCTTCCGACAGCATCCGAAGTGGCAGCTTTGATTGTTGGAGATATAGACAGTGATATGGGCGATAGGGATATCATTATTGAAACACAAGATAGAGTATTGCAGCGCATCGATGTGAAGCATCCATTATATCTTGGCTTGCAGTATCCATTGCTATTTCCATACGGTGAAGACGATTATCGTGATGATGTCCAGCGTACTGTATCCAGTGGTAGGAAAAATGCAAGAGCCATGATCAGCATGAAGGAATTTTTTTCGTTTAGACTTCAGATGCGATCTGGAGAATCAGAAATTCTACATCGATCAAGGAAACTTTTCCAACAATTTCTGGTTGATGCATACACTATGATTGAGTTTGAACGGCTTAATTTCATTCGATATAACCAGAGTCATCTGAGAGCTGAGTTGTACAAAAATATAAAACATTCATTAGATAGCGGTGAAGATGCAGCACTGAGCACTGGAAAACGTATCATTATACCTTCTTCATTCACAGGCGGACCTAGATATATGGCTGAAAATTATAAAGATGCTTTCGCAATTTGCCGTTGGGCTGGATATCCTCATCTTTTTATAACAATTACCTACAATCATAAGTGGCCAGAAATTACACGATTTGTTAGGGCCAGACAGTTGAACCCTGAAGATCGGCCTGATATTCTATGCAGAGTCTTCAAGTTCAAATTGGACCAGTTGCTACATGATTTAAAAAAGGAGAATATTCTTGGCAGAGTCATTGCATGTAAGTATATTATAAACTTGATACTCTTTTTCTTAACTGGATTTTATACAAAAAATTTTCCTTCATGCATTGAATCTTTCTATAACGTTGTTGTATTCTTATTATTACTTACGTTATATTCTTTGAATGTAACAGATGTTTGTACAATCGAATTCCAAAAGTGCGGACTACCTCATGCTCATATTCTTCTATTCTTGAACCCTTCAAGCAAAGCTGAAAGTGCTCTTGATATTGATAAATTGATTTTAGCGGAGATACTTGACAAGGAAATGAATCCTACTCTGTTTATGGCTGTCACGAGTTACATGATACATGGTCCATGTGGTCCTGAAAATTACAAATCTCCTTGCATGAAGGACGGACGGTGTTCAAAAAAATTTCCAAAAAACTTCTGCTCCCGTACTTTGATTGACGATGATGGATTTCCTCATTATAAGAGAAGAAATTATGGGAGAGTTGTGAACAAAAATGGTGTTGAACTTGATAATCGTTATGTTGTGCCCTATAATGCACACCTTCTTTTAAAGTACCAGGCTCATATCAACGTTGAATATACTTGCCAGAGAAGTGCCATTAAATATCTTTTTAAATACATCCACAAAGGGAATGACAGAGTGACAGCTGCCATAAATCATTCGGACGATGAAATAAAAATGTTTTATGACTGCAGGTACTAAAAATAATCTCCATTGTGTTTTGCTTTCCTACAAAATTGGCACAATTTTTTTGAGAAATTATTAACTTAAATGTTCACCGATTTATTTATTTATGATAGGTATGTCTCCGCATGTGAAGCAGCTTGGAGAATATTTGGATTTGACATTCATTCGAGATATCCCCCTGTTCAGAGATTGCCATTTCACTTGCCTAATGAAAAGAACATTATTTTCAGTGATAATGATTCGTTGTATGATGTAAAGACAAGGGCGGAGTCTAGACTGTCAATTTTTGAGTCTTGGATGGATACAAATAAAAAATATCCAAAAGGTAGGCATCTAACTTATGGAGAGTACCCGACTGAATTTGTTTTCAAAGAAAAAACGCATGAATGGAATCCGAGAAAAAAAGGATTTTCCATTGGAAGGATAAATCGTTTTTCTGCCAATAATGGAGAAGATTCATATCTTCGCACCTTGCTTAATTTTCAAAGAGGTTGCACCAGTTATGAAGATCTTAGAACGATCAATGGCGTGGTTTTTCCTACATTTAAGGATACGTGCTATTCTTTAGGACTTCTGGATGATGACAATGAGTACATTGATGTAATTAAGGAGGCAAGTTCCTGGGGATCTGCTGCTTATCTTAGATGTCTGTTTGCTCTGTTGTTATTTGTCAACTCAATGAACAGACCTGAAAAAGTTTGGGAAGAGTGTTGGAAATTTTTATCCGACGACGTTGTTTATCGGCATAGGAAAAGAATAGGACGTCAAGGTACGTGTTATAATAATATTTCATACAATTTTTTTTTTTGTTTAACCGAAATCAGCATATGCTGCATTAGTACTTATTACTTGTCAAGGTACGTGTTGATATGCCATTTGGTGGAAAAGTTGTTGTTCTAGGAGGTGACTTTCGGCAAATATGACCTGTCATTCCTCATGGCAGCAGACAAGATATAGTTCATGCAACCATCAATTCTTCTCATCTATGGTCCCATTGTCATTTATTAACTTTGACCAAGAACATGCGTCTTAATTCTGGAAGTAGCGCTCACAATTTAGAGGAAATAAAAGAATTTTCTGAGTGGCTACTTAAAGTTGGGGATGGTAATCTTGGAGATGATGTTGATGGAGAATCTATTATAACAATTCCAGATGAATTGATGATTAGAGAATCGGAAGATCCGTTGTCGGATATGGTTAATTTTGTTTATCCGAATCTCTTGGATAATATTTTGGATCAGACCTTCTTTAAAGAACGTGCTATTCTAACTCCTAAATTGTCCGATGTTGCTATGCTAAACGAGCACCTAATGTCTATGATTCCTGGTGAAGAAAGGACTTTTTTGAGTTCGGATAAAATTCTTAAGCAAGGTGGGACTTCCTCTGTTGAGGATGATGAAATCACCCCTGAGATCTTAAATACATTATCATGCTCAGGGATTCCTGATAATAAATTAATCTTGAAAGTTAAAGTTCCAGTAATACTATTAAGAAATATTGATCAGTCGAGAGGTTTATGCAATGGCACGAGATTGCTTATTACAAAATTAGGGAATCATGTTGTTGAGGCAATTGTACTTACAGGAAGCAATATAGGGGAAACTGTGTTAATCCCTAGAATCACGATGAGCTCATCGAGTCATACATTTCCTGTAAATTTCCAAAGAAGACAATTCCCCCTGATTGTATTGTTTGCCATGACTATCAACAAGAGTCAAGGACAATCACTTTCACATGTTGCAATTTATCTCCCTAAGCCTGTCTTC